CAAAGAGAAGAAGAGGATGGCGGTTTTGATTGCTCAGTTTGGTCCCATTGGTATGTATATCAGATTCCTCAGCGAGCAGTGGGATGTGGCTCATCTACCTCCCAACGGTCTTTCACCAGTGTCGATTAATGACTTTTCATCGTACGCTCCCCCTTTCTGCTGCTCTGCCTAATGCCTTTAATCCGACGCCAGAGTTAACCTGGTGCCGAAGCTGAGCTAGGGACTGTGGCAACCGTGTGCTTTTCGTTTGTGTGATTGCTACAGTACAAAAGTATAAGATAGGTAGGCGGTTGCGACTTTCCTCTGAAAATAGAGTGAATGCAATGTGAAAATTTCCGAGAGATCGTTCTCATCTGCCGACCCAATTTAGATTAGCAAGAAGTCAGAACTTTGGAGTGCTAGGGCTCAAACTTACAACTTCACTCACCGTTGTCAATGGATTTCAAGAAGTGACGTGTTGGAGTGACCAAATGGCATCGATAATGGAAAAGGTTGAGGATACTTGCAGCAAGTAGCGAGCATATTAGAACCACCATGATAATCGAGGCATAGGTACTGATTGATAACCAGTGTGCAATCCAACCAGCGGGGTAACCCATCGTTATTGGGAAGAAAATCACTGGCAGAGTAACACCCGTATACACAATGTCGAACACAGTCGAAACCATTTGATAGGCAAGTAAATACCACTTATAAGCACCCATCTGCTTCGTTGATTTGAATACTATACAGTATAGAGCGAATAAATTCATAAACAGTGCGGATATGCACAATGAGTGCATAATGTTCAAGTAGGAATCGATCTCTTCGTCAAAATCGTCACATTCAATCATAACCTAGGTTGAGGGGGTTGTTTCTTTGACGAAGCGCTTCCAAGCAAGTGATCGTAGATCTTTCTTCATGATTGACTCGCAAAACCTTATTAAAAAGCACCTGTCATTCCGTATGCTCATATGTACCATGATGAACTGATACCCATCAAGAAGCAGGGACAATTAATAGGAAAAATATAAATATTTCCGAAGAACAGTTGAACGGGACCTTTCACCAGCCTTTTCTGTGATGCGCCGCGCATTTCTGTTTATTCAAAATCGGAATATACAGTAGCGGTCAAAAGTGTTCGCCGAAACGGTTTTCCGTGCTTCTCTTTTTTTTGCCAGAAAAAATCAATGGTGACCTCGAAATTTTTTCTTTTGAAATATCCTGATTCTTTAAGACTTTGAGGATAAAAACACTAGAAAAGTATATCAATCTTTGGAGGCGTTGCTCAAGCGAGAAAAAATAATGCACTGAAAATCGTTTCGGCGAACACTTTTGACCGCTACTGTATCTGAAGAACATCTGGTAAAGTGCAGATGCATTTTATTGTGGAGCCAGCCGACGTTAGAATTCGTGATTTCAGCCACCAAAAAAGCCGTACGAATAAAATTAACTTCGAAGGCTCTTAGACTTGGTTGGTCAGAGTGAGTTTTCTTCCCCGAGTACGGTGTTGGCAAGCATTATTGTTAGCAACAACCCATTTTCGTCAACAGCTACTGGGCTTCTTCGCGATTCTTTACCTTTCGCGAATGGTGAGAAACTGAAGCTCCTTTTACTAAACTTAGAGTTGAAAAGAGCTCGCGTAGAAGGCAGGGGTATCTGGGACGGAGGTTCTCAAGTAGCCGTGTCATTAGAGCCGAGCGGGGATGTAATGGGCTTGGTTTCCCTCTGGTTCGTGCTCCAGGCATCCTTTCACAGCTCTGAAGATTTGGTGCAGCTCAGAAGGGTTTCAGCGAATGAAGTGGAACGTGGCTACACTTACGGAAGTGCTATAGAGAATCAATGTGTCTCAAAGGTGGAGTCCACGATGAAAAGACCAATTACCGGAAATTTAGGTTGAGGCTGTCGGTTGATACAGGGATGAAGAAAAACTAAGAAAAACAACCTAGAAGTCGAGAATGGAGTAGTAGACTGGTGCCAAGGAGTGTGCATTGAGCGTGTCTCATCGGTGCTGGCCTCATTCAACGCTAACGCTTCCTTTACTAGACGGCTGGAGACTGCTGCAAGTGGCCAGCCAAGTCGATGGGCGTGCTGCTGTGATAGCGGCGCGAAGAGGGCCGAGCTGGATCGACGGGGCTATGCCCCTACGCTGCGAACTGCGTGTCGGTCCGCACCCTTTGA